AGAATGTGATACAATACAACATTGAATCAATACAACATTTGGAGATCATTCACTACAATCATTACAAATTTCTAACATGGCTTTTGCTGCTTTAATAAATTCATGGAGTTCTTCAAATCTGGAAGTTCCATCTAGTAGCCTATAACTTAAGAATATTCTATAACACGATATCTATAGGTTGAGCTTCCTTAGCCACAGTTAACTGCTTCTTCCAGTATCTGCCAATCAATCCATCAACATCCCATTCTTCAGAACCCTGCACGTTATCCATCTCATTCTCACTCTCTTGGTTCTTAGAATTGAATCCAGGTGGCATCGAAAACAGGGATCTCCCAGCACCATCAGTATCAATCCTATTCACCTTACTCCTATCCCCAATGGTCGAATTCCCTCCGTGTAACCTCTGTGCAAACTGCCAATCCTCCTTGGACAACAGAGGCGGCGGCAGCCTTGGGTTTAGATTGACATTTGAGTAATAGTAAGATAAATATGCAGGATCAGACCTAAGCTCCTTATCTGACATGAAACCATGATAAATAGTAAGGTAAATGTTTCATCGAAATCGAACTCAACAAAAGACAGAAAACATAACAAATCTCCTAAAACGGTAAGACAAACAATAGGATTCAATAACCTACTACTAAGTTCACCAACAAACTATCATTATCAACAAAGTGATTTAATAAAAAAAAAGTACCCATAAAGTTTGATCTAATATAGAAAATCTTAAACCACAAACTTAGAAGGCTACAAGCTTAGAAGGTTACGACCCAACAAGGTACACATAGCTTACAACAGGCTGTTGAATAATAACATAGAAAATGGTACAACTAGACAACGGTTTGGTGAAAAAGATGTACAGTAAGAAACTGTATATTAAATGTGAAGAAATTCAAAGGACAGAATATCAGAATAGTTTTCAAAAAATTATCAATATGTAAGAGAACATCCAAAAGAATTGCTGTAAATCAGGTTGTGTGTCTTTGCTCATATTTAAAGACTTAAAACTAATTATTCAAAACACGTATTTTTCAGGAACAACCAAAGAATAAGTACATCGTGGCATTACCATTTTCATATTCCAAAGCTTGAAGTATCATCTCTACCTGTATGTAAAAGAAGCAAGAAGATTAATCCACAAAGTTCCCTTAATAAAGCACTTAGCGTATTAGTTACTGACAACAAGATATAGAATTGTCACCACTTAAGTCCATAGCTAGAGGCATCAATTAGTTCAACTTAAATGTTGAGAATTTTGATTTAGAAATGCAAACATGTCATACCTTGTCAAAATCTTTCACAATCTTAGCTTCTGGAGTAGAATTCTTTTCATATTTCATCCATAAATCAGCTATCTCCTTTGCTGTCATGAACATAACACAATCAACCAACAAGAAATAATATATCATTTTAAATTAGAATACAAATAAATTTAGTAAACTGCCATAGATATAAGAACAGAAGAGAAACAAACCCCGTGGCCCTCCACCAAGTAATTTACACAGGTGCTCCAGTGCTTCACACTCTCGTCGATTTTTTTCATGCTTTCGAATCCCATCAGAAGGAGTGATGTCCCCAACAATAGCTGTTGAATCAAGAACAAATTCCTAAATCCACTAATCCAAACAAAATTTCAGGTCTAATAAATATTATTGGCCAAAAAAACCTTCATCCAAAATACTCAGAACTCTGTCAATTTTGAATTTCTGGTTTGGATTTCCAACATCAGTCCCACCTTTTAAGTATCAAATTATAATTTTCTTTAGCTCACAGTATGTTGCTTATAAAGCTAATTGCAATATTTCGATCAAATTGAAAGCATTTGACTCTCTAGAAGTGAAAATAAAACCATAAGAAATAGTTCAAAAGAGTCTTATTAAAGTTTGTGCTAACCTAAACGAGGACATTCTGTTTTCATGGAGGATGCACAACATGGATAATAAATATAATTACTTCAAAAATTTATGATTCACAATAACCCATCGGACCTTCTGGAATATCATGAACAATAGCCATTTTTATGCTTCTGCAATGTAAGGAAATAAAAAAATTAGCCAAAAAAATATATAGTTCATTTGAAAATATTTAGTTTTAAGATAGAACCGAAATATCTAAACGAATGTTGAGAGTGCAATGATAATTAATTAGCTTTACTTGTCTCGATTAATCTCAGGAATGTCAGCATAGATTAAAGCCATTAACCCCATCCGATACATGTGATCCGCAATAGATTCTGGGTTCTCAACCTGTCTTTGCACACATCCTTCCCTCTTTGTTGTCTACTTGAATCCACAATAAAATCAACAAACACATAGATCAGGTAAAAGAATAAAAGTTGCATGCAAACCTAAATAATGTACATCATAACATGATTGGACACCCCGCACAAGCCCAATAGCAGATTTGCATAGCCACACATACAAATATAATATCAGAAACCCTAGAATCAAAAATAAACACCCAAAAAGAGTTATCGATTAAATAAAATCCAACTTAAAGAAACACGATGTGAGACCTGCTTGTACTTCCTCCACCTCCTCCCATCAGCCTCCTCAATTATGAACTTCGTGGAGAAAATATTAGCAAGTTTTTCTCCGTATCCATTCCTTCCGCCAGTAGTCTTCTTCCTAGTTTGATAGTGTAAGATGTAAAAATGAAATGGTAAATGATTGAGGTATGAAGATTTCGACCGAGGATTGAAGAATCGACCAAGGACGGCTAGAAGATTTCTACTCCTGTCTGAAGATGGCTAGGTTGAGGATGACAAATGAATTAGGCAACGTTTGTAAACCTAAGACATCGGGCCGGGTCGGGTTAACCCTGTCCACAATTAAAAAAATGTCCCAAACCAATTCGTATAATTCTCTTTATTTTTCACAACGTTTAATAAACGTTGCGAAAAGGATCTTTTGCAACGTTAAATAAAAGTTGCAAAAAGTGCCTTTCGCAACGTTTATCTAACGTTGTGAAAAGTTTTATTTTTTGCAACGTTTATTAAACGTTGCAAAAGATCAACTTTTTGCAGCGTTTAATAAACGTTGGTAAAGGAAACATTTCGCAACGTTTATTAAACGTTGCAAAAAGTTCACAAACTTTTTGCAACATTCGATAAACGTTGCAAAAGGTACTTTTTGCAATGTTTATTTATAAAATGTTGCTAAAGCTCAATTATATTAACTAATAGCAACATTCACTTATTAAAAT